ATTTAATTGATACTTCATTTTTTATTTTAAAAATTTCAATCCAGATTTTTTATATATTAAAAAATTTATATAATTTGAACATCAGGTTTTTTCTTAGAAATGTTATAACTAATTTATCATTTTTTGTATACCATAATAATTCTTACTTCTCAAGATTTGATGTATCTTTTACTGAAAAATATTTTCAATATATCGTCTATATGTTAGATTTTTTTGTATGATACCCAATATTTTTGATACAATAAATGGTTGACACACACAAAAATTTTTTTAATGTAATACAATTAATTTTTACAAAAATTTCATCTAATATAAAAATTAAAAAATAAAATTAATACACGTGCGGTCGCACGGGTCAAGGTCTAATTTATACTATTAAAGCAGAATCCCTAGTAGGATTCTGCCCTTGCATTTTTAAGTTATTTACAAATGACTGCCATTCTCTTATTTAGATTTTATTAATTATTTTAAGCAACCAATCATCAATCAGATTTTTCATACCACCGATATTTTCACCAGCCAATCTAACTTGGGCGGACGTAATAGCATTTAATTCAAACATATTTCGAACAATATATTTTATTTCTATATTGAGGTAACTTAATACCAAAAGTCGTTAGGATTCAATATTTAAAAAGTCTGAAACGGTCAACTTAACAAAACAAACTGGGTTTTGTTTTTCTGCATGTGGGTTTAAAAAGTTTATTATGTTAAAAAGGCCATAAATTATGTGTCAACGAGATCCATTAAACCCTTTTAAATGAAGATAGATTTTAGAAGTCCAATTAAAATTCATAACAAATTATTGATTTGACTTCTAAAAATCAATACCATTAAAATAAAATCATTCCTTTTAATGAATGATTTATGTTTTCCTAAATTACACTTGATCTTATGAACAAAATTATTTTTTTATTAATAGTCTTTTAGTCATTTTTTATTTGGGCCTAAAATTATATATTAATGGGTTTCATTAATGGGTTGATTGTCTTTCAAATTTTATAAAAAAAATTCTTGCAAAAATATATTTTTTTGTGGGCCAGACAGGTCAAAATTTTCAGTCGAAAAAATGATTCAACCCGCTACGGAGCGGGTTGGACGGAACGGGCCGGACTGAGTGATTGAAATTTTTTAATTAAATGATTTTACGAATTAATCACAAAACTTTAAAAAATGGACCATTTAATTGTTAAATATACAATCTTTCTCAAGTAGACATTTCAGGTACAACCATTGTTAACTTATTTAGAAACATAAAAAAATTGTCTGAGACATTATAAAATTTTTTTTTCATACCCGCATAATAACTTGATCTTGATTCTATGACATTTTATATCATCGAAGCAAAAGACTTATTGATCCATCTATAGATAAAACAACAAAAATAGTACCCGCGCTTAAAAATCTAGTATTCTATTAAACCAGAAGTAAAAAATAATACTTACTTATTTTGAAGTAATTTTTCTGCAGATTTTCTTTTTTTTTATTTTTAATTAATTCTATTCACTTCATTTATTGTCTTTTCTAAATAATCAATTCATTTATTACTTTTTTCTAAATAATCCCTTTATTTATATTATCACTTCATTTATTCTCTTGCACGAATATGAAGTTTATATTTATTTGGTTTTGATGTAAGAAAATTTTAAAATCTTCAAAAAAACTAATGTATCCGAGATATGTTTGGATTTTTGTACCAAATATAATCATATTAACCGAGTCAGAATTTTTGAATGCAAACTAAAAATAATCAAATAACCAAAAGTAACCATATTATTCGGTTTGATTCGGGTTCAGTTCTGATGTATAGAACTTAAAAATATATAACTAATTATATTATGACATATATAAAATATAGAACTTTAATTAAAAATATATATTAGTTTATAAAATAGGTAAAATTTAATATCCGCACGGGCATGCGGGTCAATCTCTAGTTTATTCTATTAAAACAGAATTATAAAACATTACTTACTTATTTTGAAGTAATTTTTCTGAAAATTTTCCTTCCATTTTTAATTAATTCTATTCATTTCATTTATTGTCTTTTCTAAATAATCACTTCATTTATTATTTTTTCTAAATAATCACTTCATTTATTGTAGTCACTTTATTTATTGTCTTGCACGAATATGAAATTTATATGTATTTGGTTTTGATGTAAGAAAATTTTAAAATCTTCAAAAAAACTAATGTATCCGAGATATGTTTGGATTTTTGTACCAAATATAATCATATTAACCGATTCAGATATTTTTAATCCAAACTAAAAATAATCGAATAACCAAAAGTAACCATATTATTCGGTTTGATTCGGGTTCAATTCTGATGTATAGAACTTAAAAATGTATAATTAATTATATGATGACATATATAAAATATATAACTATAATTATAAAAATATATATTAGTTTATAAAAATGTAAATTTAATACTCGCACGGGCATGCAGATCAATCTCGAGTCTAGTATAAAACAACTAAAGGACAAAATATAACTTATTATTAAATTAATTGTCATTCTTTTCTTTCACTCAGTTTAACAACTTCATTAATTATATTACCATAAAAATACATTACATCATTAATTATATTCTCATAATAATAGTATTTTTTTTATTAGTTAATCTACATTAACTTTGTGCCAATTACAAAAAGTAAAATAATTGCGTTTTACATATGGTTAAAAGTTCGATTTAATCTGTTTTACTAGAACTTATTTTATCTTAGTTTCAATAGGTGAATAGATACGTAGCCAAACACATAATTCAAAAACATAGTGTATGTGAGCAAAACAATAACTTAAATAGTATCCAACTACAATATGAGAAACCAACAATTTACAGACAATTAAAATCTGTTAATACGAGAAATCGAAATGTACAACCATTACATTTTTGTGCTATTAAGAATTACATATGTTTGTATAATTAAAATAAATATATGTGCGGGTGCACGGATCAAGCTCTAATATCACATTAGATAGTTTAAAGTATTCGCTAAATTTGGGAATCACCCGTTATAATTACGAATATAAGGATTTCCTTCCACTTGAAGTATTTCTTGTGCTTAAAGTATTTCACTTCGATCTTGATAGACTTCCCAACCAAAGCATCCCTTCTCTTCTTCACCAGCACCGTTCATATTCAAAAGCTCTGACAATTGGAATTCTCTGTTTCCACTACTACCGTAAAACCCACCTCCATCTCTCACTAGAGAATTGTACTTTATGGACTCTCTGAATATTCTATTCTGAAATCCTTAAACCCACCGTTCAGTTCTTAAATCAGTTTGCCCAGTTTTCGGTATCCAAATTGGATTTTATGGTTTCTCTTCAAAGGAGCAGTCTGTTTCTAACTGACCCACCAACTCTCAACACCAAAAGAATCAACATTTTCTTCTCTTTCACCACCCCGGGGTTCCTCCCACAAAACGTACACCGCTTGGTACTGCTCGCTGCCGCGATTATCTTGTTTCACTTTATTAAGCATAGATGTGAAGGTACTGGAGAAAATGAAAGGGCTAATAATTTTGCTTAACTTTTTTTTTGTCACTGAATATTCATTAGAAAACTAAGAACAAGAGATAAGCCCAAAACGATGGCCCAAATCATGATGTCCGTTACAAAGATAAATGAACTTAAAGAACATGTTTGCTAAATCATCGGCAACTAAGTTGTCTGATCTTGAAACATGATAGAAGAAATTGCTGCAAAACTAGTGGAGATCGATCGGATGCTTTCACATTTTTGATGATTTCTTTTGACTGGAGATTGCTGGAGATAACTCTGATGAACGTTAAATGGTCGGAGAGAACCTTGAGTGTGGAGAACTCTAAGGTTAGCGCCATGCAAAATGCCGATCAAATCATGATTGCCTCTGCATTAAGGGGTGAGCTGATGAAGCTTTCTAAAAACCGATGTCCTAACTGACTTAATTTGACATTGAAGGAGATAAACGGTGGTTCAGAAGCTGAATGTAAAAATCTCTCAAACTGGGCTATGTGAACC